GTCGTATCAGGAGGCGCGCACACATCACACCCCGTAACTCCCTATAATATTAAATAATATTAACCTATAAATTTCAAACTCCGCCCAAAATTGGAATTTAATATATCGAACAATTGCACCGAAGCTTTTTTTTATAGACTAATTAGTGGGGCCACAAAGGGCCAAAATAAGTTTTGTTTACTAACCGCGGGAGGAGGTGTTTTAAGCTAAACATTCGCAGGGTAGGAATGTGAAGCTTGGCGCAGTTGGTATAGCTGTGTGGCGTTGTAGATTTGTTGTCCCGGGGCCATGGGTTCGAAATCCTGAGAGGACCGACACACAATTTTTTTCTTTTTTTTATATAATTTTTTTAAATAAATTTTTTGATATTTTAACGTGAATCAAATGTTCTGTATATTAAAAAAACTATTTTTTCTTCCGGAAATAGCGAATAATAGCTAATAAACGGAAAAATTTCGGATAATTTTCATTTATTTATTTATTTTAATTTATATATTTTTTTAAAACTTCTTTTCAATATTTTAAAGCGAATGAAGTATTCTATATGTGAAAAGAATTATTTTTCATTGAGAAGGAGCGAATAATGACAAAAAAAGGGACAAAAGTCGTATCAGGAGGCGCGCACTTATCACACCTCGTAACTCCCTATAGTATTAACCTATAAAGTTCAAACTCCGCCCAAAATTAGAGTTTAATGTATCGAATAATTGTAAAGAAGGATTTTTTTATAGACCAATTAGTGGGTCCACAATGAGCCAAAATAAGTTTTGTTTACTAACCAGGAGGAGGTGTTTTAAGCTTAACATTCGCAGGGTAGGAATGTGAAGCATGGCGCAGTTGGTATAGCTGTGTGGCATTGTAGATTTGTTGTCCCGGGGCCATGGGTTCGAAATCCTGAGAGGGCCGACATTCAATTTTTTTCTTTCTTTTTTATAATTTTTTAAATATATTTTTTGATATTTTAACGTGAATCAAGTGTTCTGTATATAAAAAAAACTATTTTTTCTTCGGGAAATAGCGAATAATAGCTAATAAACGGATAAATTTCGGATAATTTTCATTTATTTATTTATTTTAATTTATATATATTTTTTAAACTTCTTTTCAATATTTTAAAGCGAATAAAGTATTCTATATGAGAAAAGAATTATTTTTCATTGTGAAGGAGCGAATAATGACAAAAAAAGGGACAAAAGTCGTATCAGGAGGCGCGCACACATCACACCCCGTAACTCCCTATAATATTAACCTATAAAGTTCAAACTCCGCCCAAAATTAGACTTTAATATATCGAACAATTGAACTGAAGCATTTTTTATAGACTAATTAGTGGGGCCAGAAAGGGCCAAAATAAGTTTTGTTTACTAACCGGGAGGATGTGTTTTAAGCTAAATATTCGCGGGGCAGGCATGTGAAGTGTGGCGCAGTTGGTAAAGCTGTGTGGCAAGTAGGATTTGTACTCCCGGAGGCCATGGGAACGAGACTCTGCGAGGGTCGACTTTCGTACTTTTTTAAATTTTTTTTAATATTTTTTTTTAAAATATTTTTTTCTGTATCTTAAAGAGAATAATGTGTTCTGTATACAAAAATATCTATTTTTTCTTTGGGAAAAAACGAATAATAGTTAATAAAGGGAAAAATTTCGGATAATTTTTATTTATTTATTTATTTAAATTTATATTATTTTTTTAACTTCTTTCCAACATTTTAAAGCGAATGAAGTGTTCTATATGTGAAAAGAATAATTTTTCTTTGTTAAACAGCGAATAATGGCTGAAAAAGGGACATGAGTCATGTCTGGAGGCACGCACATATCACACCCCTTAACTTCCTATAATATTAACCTATCATTTTCAAACTCTGCCCGAAATTAGAGTTTAATGTATCGATTAATTGTAAAGAAGGATTTTTTTATAGACCTATTAGTGGGTTCACAATGAGCCAAAATAAGTTTTGTTTACTAACCGGGAGGAGGTGTTTTAAGCTAAACATTCGCGGGGTAGGAATGTGAAGCATGGCGCAGTTGGAATAGCTGTGTGGCATTGTAGATTTGTTGTCCCGGGGCCTTGGGTTCGAAACCCTGAGAGGGTCGGCACTCAAATTTTTTTTCTTTTTTTTATATAATTAAAGTTTAATATATCGAACAATTGCACAGAAGCTTTTTTTAATAGACTAATTAGTGGGGCCACAAAGGGTCAAAATAAGTTTTGTTTACTAACCGGGAGGAGGTGTTTTAAGCTAAATATTCGCAGGGTAGGAATGTGAAGCATGGCGCAGTTGGTATAGCTGTGTGGCATTGTAGATTTGTTGTCCCGGGGCCATGAGTTCGAAATCCTGAGAGGGCCGACACTCAATTTTTTTCTTTTTTTATATATAATTTTTTTAAATACAGAGATCTCTCATTTATGCACCACCTCTTTTATGCACCTTTTTCATTTATACGACGATTTTTATAGGTCCCAGAACATTAGATAAGAAAATAATGATAAACATCCTTCGTTTATGCGTCGCTCTAAATATAAATTTTTCACTTATGCACCGAAATTTAAAGCTAACATTTTAATTTTTTTATCCTTTAAGTATTTTTTTTCTTTAAAAAAAAGGTTTTAAAATAAAAATGAAGCAAATAAACAATCCTTATTACAGATAAAAAGAAATATGCAGTTAGATCCTATTGAATTTTCTTCCCCCTATGACCGTCTCATTTTTGCTGTTTCTGGAAAGACATTCTTTCTACAATTTAAGGACACCTGGAATATGAAAGAGACCGCTATCAGTTACTTGCAGTCAGATGGGCATCATGAGTAAATAAAAGGAGGTGGTCCTTTTTGGTAACAGTAGTAATCGAACAACTTATTGAGCAGCATATTATGACGTCAAGTACTTTTCTTAGAAATTTATCATGTGATGTTTCATCCCCTCTCAAANTTAACTTTCTATATGTGAAAAGAATTATTTTTTTTATTGAAGGAGCGAATAATGACTGAAAAAGGGACAAAAGTCGTATCAGGAGGAGCGCACACATCACACCCCGTAACTCCCTCTAATATTAACCTATAAATTTCAAACTCCGCCCTAAATTACAGTTTAATATATCGAACAATTGTACCGAAGCATTTATTTATAGACTAATTAGTGAGCCCACAAAGGGCCAAAATAAGTTTTGTTTACTAATCGGGAGGAGGTGTTTTAAGCCAAATATTCGCAGGATTGGCATGAGAAGCGTGGCGCAGTTGGTAAAGTGGTGTGGTAAGTTAGATTTGTAGTCCCGGAAGCCCTGGGTACGAAACACTGCGAGGGTCGACTTTCAAACTAGTATTCTAATTTTTTTCAATATTATTTTTTCAATATATTTTTCTGTATTTTAAAGGGAATAATGTGTTCTGTATACAAAAATATCTATTTTTTCTTTGGAAAATAGCGATTAATAGCAAATAAACAGAAAAATTTCGGCTAATTTTAACTTAATAAATTATTTTATTTTATACTTTTTTTTAAACTTCTTTTTCAATATTTTAAAGCGAATAAAGTATTTTATACGCGAAAAGAATTATTTTTCTTTGTTAAAGAGCGAATGATGACTGAAAAAGGGACAAAAGTCGTATCAGAAGGCACGCGCACATCTCACCCCGTAACTCCCTATAATATTAACCTATAAATTTCAAACTCCGCGCAAAATTAGAGTTTAATATATCGAATAATTGTACCGAAGCATTTTTTTATAGACTAATTAGTGGGCCCACAAAGAGCCAAAATAAGTTTTGTTTACTAACCGGGAGGAGGTGTCTTAAGCCAAATATTCGCAGGCTTGGCATGTGAAGCGTCGCGCACTTGGTAAAACTGTGTGGCAAGTTAGACTTGTTTTCCCGAGTGCCATGGGTTCTAAACCCTGCGAGGGTAGACATTCAAATTTTTTCTTTTTTTTTTATATTATTTTTTTAAATATATTTTTTGATATTTTAACGTGAATCAAGTGTTCTGCATGTAAAAAAAACTTTTCTTTCTTTGGGAATAGCGAATAAATTTCGGATAATTTTTATTATTATTTTTTTTAATTTATATTATTTTTTTAACTTCTTTTCAGTATTTTAAAGTGAATAAAGTATTGTATGTGTGAAAAGAACTATTTTTATCTGTTAAAGAGCGATAATGGCTGAAAAAGGGACAGAAGTCTTATCAGGAGGCACGCGCACATCACACTCCGTAACTCCTTATAATATTAACCTATAAATTTCATACTCCGCACAAATTTAGATTTTAATGTATCGAACAATTGTACCGAAGGATTTTTTTATAGACCAATTAGTGGGCCCTCAATGGGCCAAAATAAGTTTTGTTTACAAACCGGGAGGTGTTTTAAGCCAAATATTCGCAGGGTTGGCATGTGAAGCGTGGTGCAGCTGGTAAAGCTGTCGGCAAGCTAGATTTGCAATCGCGGAGGCCCTGGGTACGAAACCCTGTGTGGGTCGACTTTCAAACTTTTTTTATTATTTTTTTAACATATTTTTCGGTATTTTAAAGTGAATAATGTTTTCTGTATAAAAAAATATCTATTTTTCTTTGCGAAATAGCGAATAATAGCTAACAAACGGTAAAATTTCGGCAAATTTTTACTTATATAGCTTTTTTTATTTTATACTTTTTTTTAAAACTTCTTTTTCAATATTTTAAAGCGAATAAACTGTTCTATATGTGAAAAGAATTATGTTTCTATGTTTTTTTGTAGTCTTCATCTGACTTACTATTTTTTTTTTTTTGGCTCGGTTTTTTTTTATGATTGTTTGCGGTAATTTACCACCAGCTACAGAAACTGCTCCTGCACTGGCCGCATGACAATGCTTCCACTTTAATTTGTTTCTAATCTTTATTCTTTTTTGATCGTTAGGTTGCTATTTCTAGTAGTACTTCTCACAAGGCGATATTTAATATGTCATTTAGTATGTTATTTTGTGTTAATGCGACTATATATATATAGTCGAACAATGAAACAGGAGAGTATAAATTTTCAAAATAATTTCTTTTTATTCTTTCAAAAATAGGTAAGACATACACTGCACAATTTATAAAAGATCAAATGCATTTTTTAAATGGTCAAATAGGGATGCCAATTTCTAAACATTTATTGTTTCATTATTGACCTCAATAGCATTTTAACTTTTTTAATGAAATTATTTAAAATTTCTGTTTATTATAATTATTTTAATTTTCAAAAATTCATTTTCCCAAGAAAAATTATTTAAACTACTTTAAAGTTAAAAAAAAAGAAGAAAGAAAATGGATCAGTAATGTTTTAAATGCAGAAATGTAAACATTGAGGGGTGATAAATCCAAAAACAAAGCAAAGTTGATGTTTCTATTTTTTTCAATGCCATAAAGCAATTTATACACAAAAATCCCTGCAATTTCCAAGTGACACTTACCAAAAAAAATCTATAACCTATGTTCGAATTTATAATTACATTTGACATCCCAAAATAAAGCATAACTCTTTGTAACATACAAAAATAAAACTGAATACAAAACACAACAAGTACAATAAAAATTCAATACAATTTTAATCCTCTAACAGCATTTTTTAAACAAATGCAAATTTTAAATTTCAACAAGAATTAAATATCAAAAAGGAATTTTTAAATTTTTTTTTTACATTTTTTTTTAAAAATGGAATATGTATATACAAAATAGTACACATGTATTTACAAATAATAAATTTTAAAAATCAAAAGTTTAACATTTCTTATCACCTTTAGAGTTAGAAAAAATTCCAAAGCAATTTCAAGAAATAAATTATTCAAATACAAAATCTTCCTATTGAAAAGAACTCAAGAACTCGCTTTACTTAATTATAAGAAAAAAGGAATGTGTAATATTTTTTAAGAAAAGATAATCAGGGTGTGTAGCCAGATTTTTCAACAAAATATAAACACCTTTTATGTACTTTTTAAGCACTGAAAAAATATTTTTAATCACTTTCCAAAAAAAAGTCATAACTAGGATCTGTGCATTAATAAAAAAAAAATTTCTATCGTTTAAAGTTCTTAATTTATAAACATATAATTCAGAATTATTTTGATCATGATAAAATAATTAGTTTCCGATAAATATTGCAGAGAAAATTGTGAAAATCAGTCATTTTTTGTAATTTTGAACGAAATTCGACACAACAAAGAAATAATCTCTTTTTAAAAGATTAAAAATTCAGCACTTTTTACAAACCCCGAATAAAAAAAGCACCTTTAAGGGCTTTTAAAAAACGTAAATCAAAAATAAGCACCTTTAAGCACTTTTTAAAAACGCTATGCACCCTGATAATAGAATAAACCATTGAACATGAGTCCTTTCCAATGGTTTGAGACTGAGCACTATCATTGTGCTTAACAATGTAGAGGATGCTTGTGCAAATTAATAATCATAAATTTGTTGTAAATTGTTAATTTTAGACAAGAGGTTATAAAATGTTTATTAATTTATAAATTTTGCGAATTTATTAGTTTCTCCTTGATTTCGAGGTCAAAATTTTTATTTCATTATAACATTTAATCTTGACATATTGATTTAAAAAAAAGATAACTACAACAGCATTAATACCTTTCAATTATTCATATTTGTTTGCTTATTTTAATTTCATGAAGAAAAAAAAAGAAATTTAGTAAAAGATTGATTAAATAATCAGTCAACATATTGATTTCAAAACAAGATATTTTACAGAAATCTAAGAACATAAAAAAAAAATCAGGAGCTTATCCATGAAAAGCATTTATTAATTAGACAAGAGTACAAAATGACAGCCAATATTTCCTTATGATTTTTCAACAAAAAAAGATTAAATATTTATGGAAATAATCTTTATATCACAATAAGTTCAAAGTCCATTGAATTAGCATAGTTTCTAATATTCACAAAATGACTTTACTAGAGTAAGAATCATTTTGACAAAAACGAAATTAGGTATCGTGAGCCTCAATACAGTGTAAAAAATATTAAACATTTCAGTTATCTTTTTGAGAAATAGGATTTTAGTTTGAATATTCAGTTTTGTATAGTAAAAAAAATTTGATATGAATATTAAAAATAATTATCAAACTAAGTCAGCATTTAGCTCTGTGAAAGTTATTTCATGAAAACATTTTAACTGTGTTCAAAGTGAAAAAATATGTGTGTGTGTGTTTTTCTTAAATATTGAACTTCTATATTGTGCATTTTTGTAAAATAAGTTAATAATGTAACAATCTACAAGATTTCAACAATACAAGATGTACAAGGTTTTTTTAATAATTTTTTTAATCAATACTGATTTTTATAACATCATAATAAAATAATATATACCATAAATATTGTCCTATTTGCAGCTTACTGATAAACAAAGACATTTTAACAAAGTAAAACACTTTTTACATTTGTATATTTCATTTTTAATTTATTTGCCAACAGTCCCATAAATTTTCAGTCCCATAAATTCATTCCTTAGAATTCAACGATAATACTTTAAATAATATGAAATATACAAATCTAATTGATACAATATATAAGTTTTGTATAACAATTCCTTTATTCATTCAAAAAATAGGCAGTTAAAATTCTCTCCAAACTTTAGGAAACTAAATAAAAGTCTTCATATATAGCGATTCTCCCATTCATTTAAAAAATAGACAGTTAAAACTCTTTCCCAATTTTAAGAAACTAAATAAAAATCTTCAGAATTATTTTCTATTCTGAAGAATAATTAAACAGACAAATATATTTCTTTATCCTAAAACCACAAAATCTCTTTCATACCAAATTAAATTCAATACTTTAAATTTTTAATTAAAAAAAAACTCAGAAATTTTTTTAAAAACATCGACAAATTAGAACATACACTAATAAAACTTTCACAAGCAACATTTCCAAGTAAACATCAAAAAGCTTTAAAAAAAAAGGCCAGTTTTTTATATATATTAAAATGTTTGTTTAACAGCAGATAGAAATCACTCCTCATTGATTTTTGGAAATTTCTCGATACAAGTGGCACAAGAAATCAACATAAGATGGACTACCATCAACTCCTCTGTCTTCCACTAAAAATTGCCGAAATACAACTTCAAGTTTATCTCCTTGGACCATGATAGTAAGCTGAAAAATAAATGTATATCTTATTAAATTAAAAGAAATTTCAAGCTTATCTACTTGAATCATGATAGTAAACTGACAAATAAATGTATATCTTAATTAATGATTTAAGCTTATCTACTTGAATCATGATACTAAGCTGACAAATAAATGAATATATTAGTTAGTTAAAAACAACTTCAAGATTATCTACTTGAATCATGATAGTAAGTTGAAAAATAAATGAATATTTTAGATTCTGTCATTTAAAATTATTATAGTATAAAATTTTTAAAAGTTGTGTACATTAAAATTCAAACATTTTTACATCATTGTTAAATAAAATTATAAAGAAGAGAAAATAATTTAAACAACAATTATTTTCCTACAAGGATTTCACTTTAGATAAATAAATTTTAAAAATGTGTGCAAAACTTGTTGATGTTGCTTCAGTTTCAGAGATATGGCAGAAAAAAGTTTACACAAAAACCTTCAACTACTCTCCTCACTAGGGCCATACTTTAAAAATTGCAGTTTTCCAAATTTTGATGGTCATGAAACCAAATTCATAAAAGAAGGGTGCGTTTATTCCGAGAAAATATGTTTTAGTATGGTTTATTATTTTAAAATATCATCTGCTCAAATTTAGGGTCCTGGAACCATAAAGTAATTACATCATCAAGGTTCTGCTGTTTATAGACATTGCAATTTTAAGCTACACAAGATTTTAATTGCAAGTAACTAATTTTTTTGCTACTCTTTATGCTTTTACTGGATCGAAAAAAAAGCTGGTTTAAAAATAATAAATAAAAAATTAATAAAAGTTAACAAAAAAAATGTCTAGAATAAAATAGAATAATAACATACCCTCATGTACCATTGGCGATTTTCTTCAATCTCTTCGATGACTTGGCGAACCTTTTTTGATAAAGGTGTATTAAGCTCTGGTAAAGAAGTCTACCGGAAAAAAGAGAGAAACTTTTAGCATTAATAAAATCTTTTCTTTAATAATTGGCATATTAAGAAGAATCTTCTAATTATTTTAACTCATTTTAGAAATTACAAAAAATTACAAATACAGTTTAAATGAAATACTACTGTGGCAACTAAGACATTGTAGGAATAAAAACTCAGAAACAATATCAAAAATAAGATGGTTGGCATAAGCATTTATGTGAAAAATGTAATTGTATTAATATCAAAATATCTTTTTAGGAACTTCCATAATTAGGTCCATAACTAGTGCTTGTCCTTAGAGCTCCCATGCCATCAGCCTTTCAATGGGTCAATAAAATGAGTACCAGGTTAAGTATTTGGCTGACCACCCCACCAAATCAACAGAGTCTGCTCCCCAGAGTTCAGCCTCAAAAAAATTGATAAGGGCACAGTAGGCTTTGGCTTTCCTTGAGCTGTTACACCAATGAGTTTTGTTGAAACCTCAATAATTTCAGGTGTTTTTTTTTTAAATTACTTAATAAAAAACCAACATAAGAAGATATAAAAAGGGACTTTAACACATCATATATTAAAACAGATACAAAACATTTCATAACAAAAACATTTTTTAAAAGTTTTATATTATCAATTAATAAATTTTTTGACCTAACAAAGTAATTCCATACATATGCTATCAATTTGATAGTTACAGTAATAATAAATCTTTTTTACAATTACAAGATCTAAGCTATTAATATTTAATTTGATTAAATGCAAATAGAAAAAAAAACAATTAAAATAAACTTGTAATAGTATAGATATTTAATTTCTATGAAAACTAGTTATTATTATTTTTTGTAACTCTAAAAGAAGGATTAAAAGCCTTCTGCATTGCATTTTCTTTGAAACACAAAGTAAAAATCACGAATTAATAGAATTAGCTAATAGTTTTTTTTTTTTCAATTGATTTTTTTGATTATGACTGTCATATGAAACTGAGTGTCGGTTGAATATTTAGTAGTGAAAATTAAAACATTTTCTCACAGTTTTCCCATGAAAACTCTCAATGGCTGTAACTATCATATTTTTTTTTTCTGTTTCCAGTGCGAATGACAGAATGTTACATTTTTTTCAAAGAATTACTGAATTAACAAATAAATGCATTACTATACTTTGAACTAATAATGTTTCCCTTTTTTTATTAATTAAAAAGTGCAAGACAGCTATAGTCCTCACTTGCTTGCATGTCGCCAAAAACTCAGACAGTTATAGCCATCATTTTGCAGCAACCTCTTAAACTTGTTTTATTCCAATGAAAATGAACCACATACAAACAGAAATAATGTGCGATTTTATCTAAAATCTTATTGTATCTTATTAGATTCAAATGTTAAAAAAAATGCACTCTTAACAAAAAGCTGTTAGGAGAATAATATTTATCAGTTTAGATTAACGATATTCATTTATTTTTAAAATATAAAAAAAATTTATACAATAAAATGCTTTTTCTTACCTTTTGTTTGTCAATCAGATTTGTGCATTGAACCCTTAGAACATTTCGCAACAAAATTAAACTTATTTTAACAAAAGGCTGTCAGATGAATGATATTCATTAGTTTAGATAAATGATATTAATTAGTTTAGATTAATGATATTCATTAGTTTAGATTAATGATACTTATTTATTTATAAAATATAAAAAAAAATATACAATAAAATGATTTTATTACCTTTTGTTTGTCAATTAGATTTGTGCTTTGAACCCCTAGAACATTTTGCAACCAATCCGGACTTATTGCTTGTCCTATCCACAGGAACATATAAATACCATTTTCTAAAAATAGAAATTAAATTATTAATTTTAAATCACATATAAGTTTATAGATGCAAAAATTACATCATTATATCATAATTATTTATTAATCAAATTATTATTATTAATAATTATTAATCAAATATTATAAATCATTATTACTTAATTATTATTATACATTATTATTTAATTATTATTACATTATTATTTAATTATTATTACATTATTATTTAATTATTATTACAACATTATTTATTAAATTATTATAACCATTATTATTAATCCTTCATAGAGGCAAAAAATTACAAAAAACTATTCAATTAAGAAAGAAAATAACTTAATGACTAAGAGCGATTTGTTCTACAATAATTAAACAATACATTTCAAAGTAACAATAATTCAACAAGAAAGAAACACAAATGCTGCTTTACAGCAGCATAATTAGATAAAAAACATGAAAGGTAAAATACAAAATCACTTAATCATTAAATTTTCAGAATTTAAATGTCATTCTACAGTTTGAAAACCATTTTACCTAAATTACTGACAAATAAATTTACAAAGACGGTGACCCTGCTTACAATTGTTACATAAGCAACATAAGTAACTCGAAAATAATGTTTTTTACTGCAAAATTTTCTAAACCTAACTGATTTCAAAACCTTATTGATTTGCAGAAATTTTAAACTTTTTAACTTTAAATCTAGATTAAACTAAGTTCATATAAGCTGCTCACAATCACTCAGGAAAAAAAAATCCTCCGACTTTTCCAGACTGATTTTACTCACTTTTGCAATTGATGACAATTACATAATTATTCGATTTTCAGTTTTTTTTTTATACACGTAAACAAAATATGTATAATACTTTCACTTTACTTTATCTAGAAGTGGTAAAATAAACGATTTCTTTTTTAAATTATACAAAAATAAACAGATTAAACAAATTGCAAGAATTCAGACTTGACTCAGAAAGAATTCAAAACAATATACACTTTTTTTTTAACTTTATTCTTCTGCAATGTATGACAAATTTTTTAAATAGTAATTTTTATTAATGTAAGAAACAATTGTTGTCAGTTAGTAAAAAATATCTATAGCTAAGTAATGTTTTGTTTTCTTTATAATGAAGACAAACATTTTTGATTGTGCACTGTTTTTAAAAAATGTTACATAATTTTTTTGCTTAAACTTTCTTCTTAAAACTGATACATTATTTTTAAAATTCTTAAAATATAAATTAATAAGGTGAAAAAAAAAACTTTTTAAAAGTGTTTATTGATTAAAAAAAAGAAAGTAAACAAAAAAACTATACATTAAAGAATAGCTTTACCCAACAAATACGCTCCATTGTCATGTAACTTTTCAATTGAACATCTGATTGGATTAGGAGAATCATCCCCATCAGGATTAACTTCATGCTAAAATGATAACAAATACTATAAGTATTTTCTTGCTATTTCATTTAAAAATAAATAAATAAGCTTTTAGATTAACTATACACTTAAAATAAAATGAGAAAATAGTTTTTAAGATACATTTTTTAAACATTTAAATAATAAAAAGACTGTAAAATTTTACAATTACAGACAACATAAATATTTCACTCATAGGCAGTAATTTAATTAAAATCTGTATTAAAAAATAAATACTATTAGTTTTTAAATAAATGTACTAATGTAAATTTTTTTAATGCTGTATTAATGCAATGTTTATATTATAATTCTTAAAACCATAAATCTAAGAACCAAGAATAACAATTATTGCTTAAATAAGAAAGATAAAAATCATGTCAAACTTATACACCTTGAAAACAAGTATTCAAAATTTTCGTATATGAATATTTCTTCTTGTAAATGAGTTTTTCTTTCTTTTCAAATCTTCTTAATTTTTAATAATTCTAGTTAAATACAATTGCAATTAATTAAAAAAATTAATTCAATGATAAAATTAGCTATATTTTAGTCAGCTTATGCATCAGCAGATTTCTTTTATGATGAAAACTTTTTCTTTTGAAATTCGTCAGTTTCGGTGGTCATATTTTTATTTCCTTCGTTTTCTTTATTGCTACTTTTTTCTGAAATTTCTGCTGCTTTTTAGAGCGTTTTTTTCAAAGAAGTTTTTTCTATTTAGAATTAAAAATATTTCTGTTTTCTTTTAGTACTGATTACTATACAATCAGTGATACATTGCAACATTAACTAGAATAATGGACATGAATTGGATTGAATGACTTGTTTAATGTTACAAGAGCAACTTCTTGATAATTTAATGCTTAGGAATTTGAATTGGATTGAGAAGAAAGATGATTTTGATGTGTTTAAATATCTGCTAAGTAATTAGAGACGGGACACATTTGTAACAAGGAGGAATATTTGGACAAATTTGAATCTTTAAATTATGCATAAAAAATATAAAAAATCGTATTTTTTTTATTTTTTATTTCCCTATAATTTTTGCTGTTTGTTTTCTACATATTTCAGTTTTTTCTCCCAGTTTTCTGAATTAAATAATAAAAAATGCATAACAAGAATTTAGATTAAAAACAGGTAAGGGGTGAAGATGTCTTAAATCCCTTGTAAGAAAGTTTGGAAAATATAATGTATGATAGTTAATACATTTTATTTTTAAATTAAACGTTTTAAATAATGTTTTTATCCTTTTTCCCTCAACATTGAATTCATGGCCATAAAATCATCAAAAAATGAAAATAACAGGGAAGGAATCAGTAGAAAACTGTTGAAAAAACAAATGGCAGATTTAGGAGGAATCAGCAGCAAGTGTTTAAAGGTTTGATTTTTCTACCCATAGCAAAGTAATTTATCTAAGCTTGTTTACCCAAGTATAAATCTAGTCTCATGTTTTTGTAACAAACCTTGAACATGGCTGAGGAGTATTATGTGTGAATAATAAATGTAAAAGTTGCTATAAATACCTTATAATCAAATTTAGAAATAATTAACAAAATTATAAGCCCAAAAAAATACTTACAAGAGGAATCAGAGTTGGATAAAAGTAAGTGGCAGTACTCTTAATGTCCATACTATTTACAGCAATCATGGAAAAACTTTTATCATCTAATGTCATGTCAGGACCTGTAAAAAGATTGTATAATAAATTAGAAATTGTAAAAAAAAAATCAAAATTGTTATTAAAATACAAATAAAATTAGTTTTAGTAAATCACTTTTTTTAACATTAAAACAAATTCTCTGATAATATAATAAATAATTTAACAAATAAACTCTCAATTTAGTGTCAATAAGGTAAAATAAATTAAATCTAAAGAAAATTCTCTTAAATGATGCAGCACTTTATAACATTTATTATTTAATATTATTATACACTATACCAAGGGCTAAGATTATCAATTTTATCTATTATTGTAGAAAAATTTCTCTCTGCAGATCTTCATTTTCTAAGGTAGTGCATGACTTAATGCCAAAATATTATTAATTGTTATAAAAAATAAAAGACTGAGAGATTAGATCCAGCAAAGATATAAATCTTAACATTTACCGTATATCCTGGTGTATAAGTTGAGTTTTTAAACTCACAAAATTTTACATTAATATACATGTATCTAGTATATATCCCACAATATAAACCTACCGCAAAGTATATTTTTACAAATTTGATGGTCCACATAACTAAAATAGTTGACAAATGCAGGTATAAAATATTTCTGAAGATATCTGTTAGGAATGCAGTTTAAAAAGATATTTTAAAAACTGCAAAAATATGAAATATAAGAGGGATAACTTACCTCCTGCGAGGGCATCACTTCTAAGTAAGCAGTTGATCATCAGAGGGAGAAGTTTTAAAGCTTCAGGCAGTATAAGTTGCCCGGAAGATGAATTTGTGGCACAATGTTTTCTATAACAAGACAGAATTTTCACACCACGGTTCAACAAACTGCTTTTAATTTGTTGAGGGTTATGATCTAGCATTTGCTTTAAAGCTAGAAAAACAAATGTGTTTTTTGTCACTAAATTGAAAAATACATCACATAAATAATATTATATTAAATGCATAACATTCTAAAGGGTAAAAAAAACTCAGTACAAATCATTATATTATTGTATATTTAATTTTAAAATGTTTCAACTTAAATTAGCTCATAATAAAAAATCATGAACAAACAGGCTAAAAATTAATGTAAATTTATAAAGCAAATTAACAAAAATTTATCAAGATTTTTATTTCCAAAAAGAAATCATAATCCAATAAGTAAAACTAATTCAACTGATTTTTAATATAAATAAGGATAGTGTTTTATGTTGCTACATAGTTAAAAAAAATTCTCGTTTCCTTGTTAATACTAGTAAATGTGAAAGAAAACCTTTGTTGTTTATAAATTTAATCAGAGGAATCATCATCAAATACCAACCATATTTCTTCTTAGGGTACTATGAGAAATCCCTATAATTGAATTGAGTTATAGTGAAAATAATCATGTATCGTAATACAGTACCAGAGAAGGTGAATTTTTAAAGAAACAGATGAAAGACATTGTTGATGAGCAATTCTCTCAAAAGCTTCAATGTTATCAGTATATTTCTAGAAGCAAGTTGTTTTGATTTAAATAAATGGTGGTCATGAGTCTAAAAACTAAAGAAATTTCAATATTATCATCAAGATAGTCACAAACACTCAGGAAAAAAAAATTCCTGATTTTTGTAACCCGTGCCATAAATTTTATTATTTATTTTTCAGTTACACCAAATTAAAATACATAAGACATGTTATAAAACAACTATTAGTGTTATTAGAAATGGTTAAAATAAAAAAAAATTTTAAAAAATAAAGCAAAATTAATTTTTTTGAAAAAAATATAGGATTTTTAGAAACCTCCAGCATTATTTCCGACTTTTTAGGCATTAAGTTCCCTGATTTTTTTTTTCAGATTGGTTCAATTCCCTGTTCTGTGATTACACTGATTCTATTTTTTGATATTTCACAGGGTTCCCTCTCAATTTCAGAAAAAAAATTCCCTGACTTTCTCAGGTATATCGTGTAAATTTTAATGAAAATTGAAACCATATTTTCATCAGAAAACTTTGATTCTTTTATTTGTAATGTGAAATATTAGATTTTCAGTGTAAAAAAAATCTTATAGAATGAGGATCGGATCATTTCAGTTTGAGTTAAATGTGAAATTTTTATAACAAATAATTGTAATAGATGTTAGAATTATTTAATTCGAATTTCAATAACTGANCAGTTACACCAAATTAAAATACATAAGACATGTTATAAAACAACTATTAGTGTTATTAGAAATGGTTAAAATAAAAAAAAATTTTAAAAAATAAAGCAAAATTAATTTTTTTGAAAAAAATATAGGATTTTTAGAAACCTCCAGCATTATTTCCGACTTTTTAGGCATTAAGTTCCCTGATTTTTTTTTTCAGACTGGTTAAATTCCCTGTTCTGTGATTACACTGATTCTATTTTTTGATATTTAACAGGGTTCCCCCTCAATTTCAGAAAAAAAAAATTCCCTGACTTTCTCAGGTATATCATGTAAATTTTAATGAAAATTGAAACCATACTTTCATCAGAAAACTTTGATTCTTTTATTTGTAATGTGAAATATTAGATTTTGAGTGTAAAAAAATCTTATAGAATGAGAATCGGATCATTTCAGTTTGAGTTAAATGTGAAATTTCTATAACAAATAATTGTAATAGATGTTCGAATTATTTAATTCGAATCTCAATAACTGATTACTGTTACTGTCAATTTTAAGACTGGTTATTTTCTAGGTATGATATAGGAATATTCCAGGTTTTTGTAAAAAAAAAAAATATTACAACTTTCCCTGATTTTTAGAGTTAAAATAAAATTCCCTGACAATTCCAGATTTTCCCTGACAATTCCAGATTTTCCCTGACCCGTGAGGACCCTGATTTCATTACAATAAGTGACATATTCAATTAATTGATGAGCTTACAAATTGGCAGGTACAATAAAAAATTATTCGCTCAAAAAAAATTTGAGATAATAATAAGACTTTGGGTAGGGATGCACAACCTGCGGCCCACCGACTGTTGATGTGCGGCCCAGGGGAGCTTCTGAAGGCAATAAAATATTTCTTTAATTAAAATATTTTATTCAATTTTATATTACTACATAAAATGCATATATTTTTTGCACTTTCTGCAGCATATATATATGATTAATTAATTATTGTGAAAAATGAAATAGTGTTTTAAAAAAAAGTAACAGTTTTTTCAGTTTTAAATAAATTCAAATAATTAAAAATATTTAATTTTCAGCAAATATGTAATTAACTTAACTGATAAAAATATTTAGTGCTTAGAACACTAATGTTATACGAAAATTATCATATTTGCTGCTAACATGACTAAATATGCTTGCAGCCCTTCGTTAATCTACCTGCTGTGAAAGTGGCCCTTCACTCAAAAAGGTTGTGCACCCCTAACTTAGGGAAATTTTTTAAGCGATCAAACATTTGAGTAGAACACCCCATACCTTGTTTAGAAAAGAAATTTATTATAGTGTCCATTTCTGAACACTTGAACACATCAGGCATACTGACTGAAGTAGGAATAGCAAGGTTGTGAACTCTTATCAACCTTTCTCCAGTGCAGGTTGTGTAGAGGAGGGCAGCCTGTATGAAGACAGTTTCATTCTCGGCTAACTTATCATCATAAGCAAATTCAACGGTTATTGACTTGTGACAATCTATTGCACTCAACTCTATGTCTGTCGCATTGGACATGTAAAAGTTGCCATAGTAAAAAACTGGGCTGATACCTGATACAAAACAAATAAAAAGGTTTTAAATTTATAAATAGGTAATATTGCATTCATGACAGTTAATAAATAATAAAGCTACAATAAGAGAAAATAGTAACTACAATAGAGATTTACATTAACGTCTTTAATTTTTTTAGGGAAGGAAAAATGAGGTAGAAAATTGTTTAACCCATTTTCGGCCAAAGGTGCACAAATGCACCAATTCAATAAATATTTTTTTATTAACACTGCGACGCATATTTTTCACTGCTATTATCAAGGTTCTTAAGACACCTAAAAATTAATAGTCATTCGATCGGAGTAAACACTTTCTGTTGAGAAATTTTTTAACTATTAAAGTTTTTTTAAAACTTAAAACGGTTATTGACAAATGTATAATTATTCCTTTTAAGATTTATCATTATGTTTTTATGATGGATTAAAATCAAAAGTCAGTAAATAAAATAAATAAAAAAAAAACTTCATAAAAAAAACAAGCGTTCAACTAAATGGTTCGTTCAGTCATTTGGTAAGTAGTGCCTATACGCACCATTTTATTTCTTAAATAAAATAAAAAATTTTATACACAAAATATTTTTGCTCAATGAATGTAATATAAACATATTTCAATAGAAATAGCAACACCTTTTATAAAATTTTTTATTCTTGGCTTAAAATGGGTTAATTATAAACAAACAAAATGAATGAATATTTTTATAATTAAATGTTACTCAACAGAAAACTTTAGAAACAAATGAATATTCTAATATGAAAATTAAAAGATGATTTTACGAAGCCATATTATTCTGAAACAAATACTCCATAGCGTAAAAAAAAATATTTGAGTTGAATAAATTTTTTTAAAATTACACATTAAACTATATTTTAAGGTAGAAAACAGAAAATAATCAAATCGTTCTATTTAAATACGAGTAAACACAATGCAATATCTGACAACTTTTGAGCTTTTTTAGAATTTGAGCACGAAAAAGTCTGGGTAAAGCAACACATTTTCAACAAAGTTTTTAGCTAATTTTAATTTATGAAAACTTAAAGCAGTTAAAACAATGACTTGGAACATAAAGTTTGAAAAAATAAGCTGAACACTCCAATCAAACTCATGAGAATTAGTAATTTTTTGTTATTATAATCATAAACAATATTTGTATCATCACTAATGCCTGTGACAAAATTTTCTTTGCATGTTAAAACATTTTAGTTTACAGTTACCAAAAAGATTGATACTCAATACTGATTTACTTAAAAGAACAAAATATTTTAGTAAAGAAAGTGGGTAGGTACTTTGTTTACGTTGCACTAAAGCTGCCCAATGGGTAATCTGCAATGGTCTGAGAATCATCCCTGAGGATGATCTGAAGACATGCCATTGCAATTTTGATTCTCTGCAGAGGAGATTTGTAAGAAAAGTAATAATAAATAAAAGTAGTACCATAAAATAAAAAATATAATATGAATTTCTTGTATGTTTAAAAAGCATGCTCACTTTTTAAACTCTTATACCCAATCAACATTTAAAAATTTTTTTCTGCTAAGTTTCTTGACAAATATTTGTTAAAACTAACTATCAATTTCAGCTGCAAAAAAAAAACATGTTTCTTTTTTCCTAGGTTACAATTTGACGGCATAATTTCTCAGTTCTGAAATCAAAGATTTTATTACTGTATGTTTAAAATTTATATTCCTTTTACACATGTTGCTAACTTTTAAATGTTAATTAAGTGTAATGTTTATAAAAAGATAGTTTGATCTCTTTTTTGCATCACGAGTAACTTAAGTGATTGAAGCATATAGCTTTAGGGGAATAAGGAAAATCCTATTTCCACAAAGATTCCAGTTTTCATTACTAAGGTATCTCATAAAACATAAATTAAAATAAAGTACTTACCTGCACTAGTTCTAACACGTAAAACAGCATCAAATGCTGTAGGAGTTGTAACATTTCTTTCTAGATCTTCTAGGAATCTGTCACCATCAATATGAGACTACAAGGAAAAAAATTACAAAATCAGATAAAAGTTAATGTAGACTGAATATATATAAAAAATGTTTTAAAGGAATTAGTACAAAGAAGTACCTGGAAATAAGTGTATTTGTACATCTGTCCACCTGTATATCTGCACATTGGACTTAAGCTTGCAATATCTACATATGCAGAAGGAAACAAATAAAGGTCAACAGCACAACCTGCAGCAACACACTCTTGGGCTAATTTGCTGTAAAAATCTGTTTGGGGTGACAATGCTATCTGAAAAATAAAAATAAAATTTTTTTATTAACTATGAAGGAATATGCATGTGTATAATATATATACAAGAATGAAAGTCCACAAAAAGAATAAAATTATTTCAATACTTTTTAGAGCTTTACTAGCAAGAAATTAAAAAACAAGCTAAGCTAAATCATTTAAAAATATCTCCTGAGATTCTACAATAATCTAAACAGGTCTTTTTTTTTTTCAAGCAATTGAGCGACTTTTTAAGAGAATTGGAAAAATAATAAACTCCAAGGTAATCAACATTGAATGATTTAAAGATTTACATTGCATTCTCAAATAAACATTTTCTGAACTTATTTTATTAAACAAACATTGTCAATCTGCCGTTTTTTATAGCTCCACATTCAATTAATTTTTTTATAATAAATTTAGTTGGTGTATAAATAAAATTTGAAATTAATTTAATTTAATAATGATCTATAGATTGTAACCTTCAAGTTAGTTAAGAAGATTGTTTTGATTGTTAAGTAGATTAGACATCTGTTGAAATAAAATATTTTTCAGTAACAGTTATTTTTAAGCAACAGTTATTTTTAAGCAACAGTTATTTTTAAGCAACAGTTATTTTTAAGTAGCAGTTATTTTTAAGTAACAGTTATTTTTAAGAAACAATTACTTTTAAATAAATTTAAAATGAATCATAAAATGAACAGAAAAGCTTACTTTTTGTTTATCTGTACCAAGAAGTTTCTGACCTTCCCTATGAGGCAATTTTCCAGGAGCATCAGCATTTGGAATTGTTGAATGAAATACTAGAAGTTTGCCACAACAGTTGGCATTCTATAACAGAAAATAATAATTAATAACAAGATAGTATTATGCAAAATAATACAACGTAAAAACAATAGCTAAAACAAGGAATCATGGAAAACAGCATAGAAATGTTTTAGAGAAGGCCAAGGCTCACCCCTGGGCTGCCATACCAATGATAATCATGATGATTGAAATTGGTTCAACATGATTTTTCATTTAGAAAGAAAGAGAAATAAAATGGCTATTTCAGAAGAAAAAACACTGATAAATTTTCTATTAAAAGAAAATTTGCTTTCATAAAAGTTTTTTTTACTACTTTGTATTAAGAATAAAAAAAAATTAATTAAGAAATAAAAATTTATTAATAGTGGGAATTCAGAGTCCTCTTACTGAATAGTAATTTTGAAGAGAAAAATGGGGGACGGGGTTAACTTACATCATGTAACAAGTTTTATACTGAAAAAGTAAGTTCGTTTTGGTGCTACAAGCTTATTTAAATTATTTTTATCAGTTTAATCCTTCAATTTACTTATAATTATGAGCGGCGGCATATAAAACGAAGACAACTTCTGTAAAATTAAGATAATGAAAAATACTTATAATTTTAAAATGAATAAAAATATTTAAAAAAAGTTTATACAGTGAAAAAGAGCCAAGATGGCTCAAGGGATCAAAAACTTGCTCACAATCAGATGACCCTAGTTTGAATTCTAACAGAGGCTAGTAAATACGAATTATGTTTCTGGCTCACACTGACCACAGTGCTGACAAAAAATATCCTAAATGGAAGTAAATCATAAAATAAAATCCACTATATTAGAATCCACTATCCAGTATTTTCTTCTCTGAGAAACAAATATGCGTGTTACTTCTATCAAAAAGCTCTTCACACAGACTAGTTTGTTTTAATGCTTGAGTCAGCAGTCTTTTGGGTTGGGTTCCAAATTGCAAGTTCGATATTGATAGTTCTAAACCCAAAAAAAATTGGATGGCTGCTTAAGGCCAGTTCTGAGATAAAATAAAACACATGAAAAGTTTTTGAAATGCATGTTATACTTCTAAAATAAATTTTTTAATTTTTTTTACCCAGTGTGGCAAGCCTGCAGAGTTTTTGAGTAATTTATATATATCTTTGAGTATTGAAACATATAAGTTTAAAAATTGGTATGTGCAACATATTAGAAGAAATATTCTTTAATATCCTTCAGATTTCATTTTTATAGTTAAATATAGATTCCACCTGCATTTACCTATAGACAGTAAATTACCCATAGATTAGAGGTACCCAAATAATATTTCACCCGCCATTTATTACTGATACAGTCTTTGTTTACAATATTGATAGATTATCATGCTTTAAGTATATAAGTATACAAAGCCATTTGAATTTTGAACACGACAGTCAATTACAACTTTTGTACGACTAATCTCTGGATTTAATTTAACTAAATGAATGCTGTAGGGTTATAATTAACAAAGTAAAAAATACACACGTGATATATATGCAAATAACATTCCGAAATAAAATAAAAAAAATGCATTTTATGAAAATAATTTGCAAATCCCTGACATAAAGAGTAACATATTACTTTTAAAGCCTCTAAGCCAACTTGAATAACTGGTCCTAAAATTACTTCATTTGCAGGATCATTCATAAACAAGCGTTGAATATGTTCCATAAGACTGCAAAAAAAAGTAAATAGAAATGTGCTGACAAAAAGTATAAAAGAAAACTAATATACAAGACAATTGGTATATGTTAAGTCAAAAGGTTAATCATAACCTGAGTTAAGATGATAATGGCTTAAAAATTTTGAAAAATGCAAAGAAAAAAATGGACTCTAAAAACTTAAGAATAACCTTAAAGTAAAAAATAGTGTCCTTAAAAATTTTCAAAAATATTTTTTATATTAACTTTTTTATTAAAAAAAAAATCAAATTGTAACTTGCATGAATGAATTTAGAAAAAAAATAAGGTAATAACTAAATTAAATATATAATTTAATTAGTTGGTTGGTTGAAAAAAATTTAAATAAATATCTGATTAAGATAAATAGGAATTTATTATTAATTTTTAGCTACAATCAAGCACATCAGAATTGCATGTTTTATCAAATATTTATTCAAATTAAAAGAATGCCTTTTGTCCCCAAGAGAATTCTTACAACTTTAAAAACTCTGTTCTTGTTATTGGAAAATATTTAATGCACTTGTTATTAAAGAACAAGAACACATATAGCGAATTTAATATAAGAAGTTTAATTTTGCACTATTTAAAGAAAACTTAGCTCACAGGCAAAATGTTCTTAAAATGGAAAGCATCATTCAAGATTCACCAAAAAGTATTAAAAAAAAAGGGGGGAAGAAAGATTTCCACTGAAAATCATGACTTGCCATGATGAAAATTTTCAATCAAGGTCAAAATCCATGACTTTCCAGGTACACGGACACCCTGTGTCGTTCATGGTGTGTGATTCTTTTTTAAATCGTACCAATAAGTGACTATGTGATTTTGAAATTCACAGAAATGCGGATCACAAGCACCAATTTTTAAATCACATAAATACTGATCATGTGCGATTTTTTAAATCGCTCAAATATGGATCTGGATTAGTGATTTTTAAATCATGTAAATCACGTCCTGATTTTTAAAAAACACACATGTCTTACTATGTGTGCTTTTTTTAAACCGCATGAATGCGGATCACGATGTGTAATTTTTAAATTGACACAATATGGATGGTGATGGGTCAGTTAGATTATATTAGTTAAATATAAGAAGAATAGGGCCTTACCTATCAATTAAAACTTCTGCTTCATCTAATGTCACAAGAAATCCTTCCAACAAAGGTACAAAAGCATTGTGAACATCAGACAATACCATAATATGAGGCTGAGTGAGATTTTTCTGAAATGAATTTAACAATACAAATAAAATTTGATTAATAATTTACCTTTAAGAATCAATTTCTGAAATTTTGGGAAATTGAAAAATTATGTTTAATAAAATCACTCTTTTACTTATTAAAAAATATATTTTTTTAGCCATTTTGTGTTGAAATTTTAAGTAGCTTACTGTGAGGTGCTTTCATGGCAGATTAATATTAATAGGTTGATGTAAAATGGTTGGCTGAAAATAATGAAGGTGAACTTTATCACATTTAATACTCATTTTTTAAAAAGTCATAGCTAATTTCAAGGCAAAATTCATTTAATTTTGATTATAACTGTCTAAATTATCATATGATCAATGATCTTATAAGTTTTAAAAAAAACTCAGATCTTTAACAGAACTTCTAGAACTTGCCCTACATTTTTTAATATTAAAATGATAATTTTTCAAGCACAAAGTATCCGCCTGGGAATGGATATGAGCACTCCAATTATAGTATAAAAATGTGTTTAAATTAATGTATAAAAAACCTTTTTCCAAAAAATGACAATATTTTTAATTTGATTGAAATTATTAATTAGAAGACTATTTTCAATTGTTGTTAATGTACATTAAAAAAAATAATTTTTGACAATATTTTTAATTTGATTGAAATTATTAATTAGAAGACTATTTTCCATTGTTGTTAATGTACATTAAAAAAAATAATTTTTGACAATATTTTTAATTTGATTGAAATTATTAATTAGAAGACTATTTTCCATTGTTGTTAATGTACATTAACAAAAA